CCTGGGGGGTGGGGCAGCCACCAAGGAATTGGGGTTATGTAGCAGGAGAGGCAAGTGGAGTTGGGGGCAGGGAGTAGGCTGCCTGACTACCCTGTATTCCTGCAAGTGTTTTCCCTGTTGCAGTGGTTAACGGGACAAATTTAAGATGACTCTCCAATAATTAGATTCTATGCATGGAAAATTTATAACAAATGTATACATTTTCCATGAATAGTATCTCATTACTGGGGAGGTTGTATTAACTTTGAAGTCATCTTGAATTCAGGTAAATATGGTATTAGCTTGCATTATGCTCTGTGATTCTAAAATGGCCCACAAAGTCTTTGTTTTTTTCTAAAAATGGTTGGTCTGTTAGGTCTCACAGTTTGCTTTCATTGCTTGAACTTTTCAATGCACTTAATGTTTGTTTTCTCATTGTATGTATTTAAAAAGAAGGTGGCCTTATTGGGCCATGGTTGAATTTGTTCTTGGTGGCTTATATGTTCATTGTTGTTTTATTTGTTTAAAAACATTTTACAGTTGCACAGAATTGGGCAAGTCACCAGAAGTAGATCTAGTAAAAACGTACGGTGTTTCATTTTTCTTTTGGGGTTGGGAGGAGGGGTTAGGTTTTAGGACAGTGCTAGCTGTTGTTCATTACAGCTGACAGTTTATATGTACCAGTGATTGCCAGTGGCTAAATTTTTTTTCTACAGCAAAGATAAAATCTCTTTAAGCAACTCTACCAGTGCTTTCTGCTCTTTAAGCAGCAGTTTTCTACCAGTGCTTTCTTCACTATAAAAACTATGTTCAGCAGCTGGCACCTGAGTTTTTCATATGCAGCTGCTGCACTTCTGTCTTTTCTGCTTATTGAATTACTATATATTTAAATGTGTTCAATTCTGAATGGATTGTTTAAACTGCAGCTTTAAGATGGAGTGGGCAACAATCCATTTAATAAGTTCATAATAGTGATCTAGTAGCCTAAGTTTTGTATTCTAAACAAGTAATACAAATGGAAACATTAGACTACTTCCTTTACTCTAAATTTCTGGTTTTTCAGTGTTAAAGATTTAAAAATTTTAAAGATTTTTCAAAACCCTGGATGCTGTTTTTTTTATAGGCATGTTATATAGGAGATCAGGCAAGATGATCATAATTCTCCCTTCTGGTCTTAAAATCTCATGATTGTATGATACTGTAATGCTATTCTGTGCTGTGATTCTGATTATCTTTCATCTAAAGCAAAAGTATGAGTTAAAATTTCATTTGTACAGACACATTATTGACTAACATTAACAAAGAATCTAAGTGTAACAGGATAAATTATTTTACAGATGCAAATATTGGCATTATGATGAGAACCTACTCACGTCCAGTGTTATCATTGTCTTCCATAATGAAGGATGGTCCACACTCATGAGAACAGTACACAGCATAATTAAAAGAACACCAAGGAAGTATTTGGCAGAAATTGTACTCATTGATGATTTCAGTAACAAAGGTAATGCTATCTATTAAAAAAAAAAAAAAAAAAAAATTCATTTTTAAAGCATTTCTTGGATTTATTGTCCTTTTATGTGAATTGTATTCAATTATCCAAGAAAAATATGTCATTATGTAGTCATTTTTAGCTATCATTAAGATGCAAACTAAGTTTCAATGAATTGCTTTGATAAGGAAAAAAGCTGGGTCTAAATGCATGTATCTGTGTTCTAAGTATATATATTTACATCAGGTTTCTTCTCCCCATAGAATTATCAAGTAGGATGTTGTGGACACTGGTTAATTAGCATGCCCTAATAGCTATCATCCTAGATAGTTTTTTAGAATAGTATTACAAAAAAGATGATGCTAATTTTGATGAGAAGGATATTTTATGCTATTTACATTTTTGGCTTAAATTTTGCTGTATTTCAAACTTGACTAAGATTAGTGAAAATGTACATAGTTGGTATAATATTTTTTGTATTTAAAAAATGTTATAAGGACATTTTGAATGTGTCATTTCTTATAGGTCTTTGAAAGAAAAACAAGTTCTTATACACACTTTACATAAAATGACCTCATGGCTGTAGCATTGGGCTCAGAGTGTAGTAATCAATGGCTCGATGTCTAGTTGGCAGCCAGTGTCCAGTGGAGTGCCCCAGGGGTTGGTCTTGGGGCCAGTTTTGTTCAGTATCTTCATCACCAACCTGTAAGTGCACTCTCAGCAAGTTTGCAGATGACACCAAGCTGAGCAGAGGTGCGGGGTAGTACATGTGCAGGAGGGTAGGGCTAGGATTCTGAGTGACCTCAACAAATTGGAGGACTGGGCCAAAAGAAATCTCATGAGGTTCAACAAGGACAAGTGTCAAGTCCTGCACTGAAGATGGAACAATCCCATGCACCAGGGAGCTGGGGGCTGTCTGGCTGGGCATCAGCTCTGCAGAAAAAGACATGTGGGTTACAGTGGACAGTAAGCTTGAATATGAGCTGACAGTGTGCCCTTGTTGCCAAGAAGGCTAATTAATGGCATACTGGTCAAGGAAAGTGATTATTTCCGTCTGTTCAGCACTGGTGAGGCCACATCTGGAGTACTGTGTTCAATTTTGGGCCCCCCACTAGAGAAAGGATGTGGAAAAAATGGAGAGAGTCCAGTGGAGGGCAATGAAAATGGTAAGGGGGCTGGGGGCACATGACTTATGAGGAGAGGCTGAGAGAACTGGATGTATTTAGTCTAGAGAAGACTGAGAAGCGATTTAATAGTAACTTGAAGCAGGGTTCAAAGGAGGATGGAGCTAGACTTTTCTCAGTGGTGGCAGATGACAGAACAAGAAGCAATGGTCCCACATTGCAGCAAGGTAAGTTTATGTTGGATATTAGGAAGAACTTTCTCAGTAGGAGGGTATTAAAACAGTGGAGCAGGTTACTCGGAGAGATTATGGACTCTCCCATCCTCTGAGGTTTTTAAGACCCAGCTTAGACAATGCCTTGGCTGGGATGATGTAGTTGAGGATGGTCCTGCTTTAAGCAGGGAGTTGGACTTAAAGGACCTCCTGAACTCCCATCCAACCCTATTTTTTATGATTCTATGGGAGCATGTCAGCAAAGCTTTCAGATGCTCATATACTTTCCTACCCATCTTCCTTTTCACTTGTCGCAAGCAAGAAGGGAATAAATATACTGTACACAGTGTATTATTTAAATGTATAACATGTGTTATATATATTGATATATACGTGCACGTGCACAGACTTTTCTAGTATTGAAATGTTAATGTCTAGTGCAAAGTAGAGCTGATTTGAGAGAAGAATTGGAGGAATGATATATAAGAAAAGGTTGGTTTGAATTTTAAAACTGAATAGAGAAAATGCATATTTTATGTAACGCATAATGAGCCTGTGGAACTGAGTATCACAAAATTGTATTTTGGCAGTGCTTAGTAGTAGTAAAAAAAACAAAATGGGTGTTTTGTGTGGATGAGAATATTTACAATTACAGGAAAGTTTAATTTGTAAATAAGGCACTGGCTTTTTACACTTTTCTGATATACCTTGTACTGGACATTGAGAGAGAGAGAATGTTACATTGGTTTTGATTTAGTATGGTGGTTCTCTTATTCAGAGCTAGTATCTTCAGAGCCTGACCAATTATTCCTATCTTGTTCATTCATTGAGTTGGTATATATCACAATGGAATAAGTAAGTCTATAAAGCTCCTGCTTTAGCTGCTTCTCCCTTCTTGACACGAGCTGAACCCAGAAGAGCTAAAGCAGAAGCAGCACACCTGCCTGTATAATGTAGTGCAGTCAGATGTGCTGCCTCTGCTGCAGCTTCTCAGTTGAGCTCCATGTGTCTCCAGAAAATCAAGGCATATGGGGCAGTTTCAACCTGTGGCAGCAGCAGCTTGGAAATAAATGGGCCTCTTGAAGAGAGGCACATGGGGCAGTTCCATCTGCACCATGTACCTCCTCTTTTCAGAAGACACTGTGCAGGGTTAGACTGGGAAGGACTGCAGCAAGAAAACACACTTTTGCCAAAGCCACTTCCCAATCTGGCACAGTGCAGATCCGCCTGGCCACAATGGTGGTGGCTATGGGATGAGTGTAATATAATTATAAGGATCTAATCAACTAATAACTAATTCATAATTTAACAATACAGTTATGGTTATAATGTAATGTTCATAATATATTTATGCTGTATTTTTTTAATTGGGCTGCTGCAAAATTTTGAGAAGTTATGCCTATTTCATCAGATACTAAGCTCAGAATGAAATGTTATGACCCCCCTAACTGTGCCAGTACTCAAATATAATACTATAAAGAAACATCTATTCTAGGGTGCACACTTAAGTAGCATAGGAATAATCAATTGACTTTATTTTGCAATCCAAATCACTCTTGGATTTTGTTTCATGTTTTTTCTTTCTATTGCAACCAAGGGATGTAATAAGACAATGAGGGTATGGGTATGCTGAGCTATATGAAAACAATAAAGACAAATATGCTGCTGAGATATGGATCAGAACTGTGGTTGCTGAAGAAGTTGTTATGAAATCTAAATTAGGCAAATAATTGCAATGGTATATTTATACTTTTTTAGTCAACACAAAGTAGTACTCAGGCAGTAGTTAGAGATGTTAGCTTCAGAATTTTCTCCTTTCTCCACCTGTTTCAAACATGGATTATAACTGCCATTCCAGCCATCAGAGACTGTCTGGACACAACTTCCTGTACAACTTGTTAAATGAAACTACCAGACAAAGTTGTTTGAGAAACTTGAGCCCTTATTCAGGAGCTCTGTGTGCTGAATAAGTTGTACTGGTAGTTTAGTAATGGGGAATGGAGCTCTTATGTGGACAGAAGAGAATTTGTGAACAGTTTTTACATCATTTTCCTATCTCCCCCAGAAAAAAGTTAAGGTAATATGTTGCTGTTGGCAGTACTATTGAACACACACATTCAAAATTATAGAAGATTGTAAAGGGTACCCATTATTATGTGGCTTGTATTTATGGGAATTATTCCCTTTTAGTTGTGGAGAAGAAACAGTTTACTGTTCATTCATCTTTAATGTTTTCAGAACGATTTGTTTTATAATCTGTTGGTAGTAGTTTTCTTGCTGAACAACTGTCGTCTTATTCTCTCTTCTGTATTCTTTTTTCTCTTCTGGGTAAGATATTTTTTCATTATAAAGAATTTCCAGATTGTTGGGTTTCTCTTTCTTTTGTGTTTTATTTATTTCTTTTTGCTAATTTGATTTGTCAAAAGTAGAGAAAAACAGTGATTACTGCAAGTCATTGTCAAGTTAATAAAGCTCCCACAGGTCTAATATTATAAATGGAAATTCTTAGATTAACTGGATGTTAATCTAATGAGGAGTGCATAAATTCCAACATTTTCTTCCTTTTTTATGAGTGTAGATTAATTTTTATCTTCTTTTGTTATAAATGTGTCTGATGACAAAGGAAATGGTTAATTTTAAATATTGTTACAGGACCCTTAACTTCAGATATTTCCTAAACCTTCTCTAGTTTTCCTGTAAGACTCAGTGCTCCATTATCACCTTTTTGCATTTAAGCCGTGATTCAAGTACTTAAGTACTTATCTAACTTTAATCCTGAGAATAGTTCCACTGAAGTCAGTGGGATGGATGTTTAGAGTTTGGCTTCGGCTAACGTTCCTTGCTGATCCAAGGCCATAATATCCTTCCTGATGAAAAAGGGCCAGATTTTCAGCTGGGCTAAATTGTTACAGCTTCATTTGGAGCCACTGATTTATACCAGCCACAGACTTTAAGTGTTGGTATTTCAGTAGTCCTCATGCGATATTAGTTTGTGTTTCTACTAACCACTTGTGTTAAATCCCATTCTTGTAGTACCCCTGGTGCAGCTCCCTATAAGGTAAAAGAAGCAAGAGAAAGAGCCTACACTTGGCTCCAGTGTTTTTACTGACTCATGTAATTGTGATCAGAGTACGTTTGTATTACAGAGTGCTACAAATATCATTTAACATGAGGGTCCTATCTGTGCTGGTGGTCTGATCATTAACATGCGTGGCCCTGCATTAGTGGTAGTACAGTAACAGAAATTCACAACAATAACTGATGTAGGAGGAACTACCATAACTGAGAACTAGAAAAATACAGATGGCAAGCAAATCAATCAGGCAAAATCTGAACAGATGAGAGGGGAAGAGATTTAGTTAGGTTTTTTATAACTTTGCTTTTTATCAGTACATTTGGATGAATATTTGAATCTTTGTTAAATATTATGTTAGCCTCTGCATTAAATTTTGAGAGTGCAACAAAATCTGGGGAAATTGGACTCAATATTTTCTGATTTATTTCTAAAAGGTTTTTTCCTTTTTTCCCCTTTCACACCACCTATTTAAGTTTTAAAGACATCAAATAACTGTATTTGATTTATTTCTATATTTTGCTAGGCCAGTGACTTCCTTTCTAGATGTAAAGCCTGTAGAGTCTACTCTCTTGAGATTTTACAAAGCTAGACCTTGGAACCCTGTAATATTAGGAAAGGGGAAATTCATGACCTTTCACTGGGAACTGGAACTCACTCCTAGAGCTGGAAGAGTAAGTTAATTAACTTTAAAGCCTTGATACTTGTACTTCAGGAAAGCTTTCCACAATTGGTGTTAAAGGATTTTATGGCTCCCTTTGACCCTTGCACAGAGATAACTAAAGCATGCTGCTTCACAGGCAGAAAGATTTGAAAATTACTCAGTATTTAAAAAGTCTCTAGAGCATTCTTGACAGTTTTTCTGTAGCATATAGTATGCCATAGATAGAATACATAATGGTCTGATATAAAGATTTTACTGGCACTTGTTTAGGATGACCCAGTAACTTGTAGTTTATGTATTCTCTAAATTTCTGATCACACTATGTACGCTATGTCTTACAGATTAAATTTTCTTTTTCTAGCTCAGCTTATGTCCCTGTGAAATGTTTGTAACACACATATTTAAAATAGACTTACAAAGAGAGGAAGACAAGGGTGTGTCAAATGTTGTGCCTGCCTATTTTTACTATGAAATTTCTAGAAATCTTTTATGGAAGTTTTGTCCGGACGAGTAGTACAAAGAGAGAGGGTTAAAAAAAATTCTCTTCTTGGTATATGATCACTGAAACAAATGTAGTTGTGTTTTGCTTTTTCATTGCAATTATTTAGGCAAGTACCCTCTTGTTAATTTAAATTGCAATCTCTATTGATAGGTGTGTTTGTTTTTTTAATCAAAGATGAAGTAAAATGTAGGAATCCATGAGACTAAAGTTAAGGTGTTCTCTGTAAACAAATCTGAACAGCTTAATTAACTTAGGTGCACAAGTGCCGGTTTTGGCATGTATATTTTGCGGTTCAATTCTGGGCACAATTTAGTTGTACAGATGTCTGCTCAGCTACTCAACTAAGTACACTCAGCAGGGCTAGGCTTTGGTTGGGTAGGATTGTGCTGCCAAATGCTTGCCCAGGTATAGAATCATAGAATCTCGTGCATGTGTCCCAACTGTAGTCAGGCAAAAATCCACAGCTAGTTGGTGTTAGATGCAGTGAAAGGTCCAGGTTCTAGGCCTGTATCTCCTGCTTTCCAATACAGTGGTCCAGCCACAAGGTCCCAGGTTAGGCATTATACCCTCCCCTTGAGGCATCCCCTCCCCTGGACAGCCAAAGGTGGGACCAGGAACAATGTGACTCAATGAGATGGATGCTGTTCTGACTGGGAGGTCTCCCTGGGTTCTAGCCTGGGTGCTCAACTCCCACTGGGCAGAAACTTCCCTATTGGTCTCCACCCATTTTATTCAATTACTATTAAATGTCAGGTTCAGTGGGTCAGCCTTAGAAAGACAGCTGTAGAGGGGGCTGGAAAATGCCTTGCTATACAACCTATCTTCTACCCTTTCTTAAACCTTCATTTATACTTCATGATGCTTCTAGCTGTCATCAGTAGTTTTCCATCTTTTTCACTTTATGCTTGTCCTTGTGATTTGATCATCAGGTGTTGAACCACAATCTAGTCCCCTTAGTCATTTTCCTTTAATTAAATACAGTTTCTACTTAAAAAACAATACTCAATCAGAGATGGACTTGGCTAGTATGGTCTTGTGTGTAGCTGGGGAAGGTGGGCAGAAATCTGGGCCTTTTGGAGTTTTCGCTCAAGTTCCCAGCAGCTTTAGGAGCCAAACACAAAATTTAACAAAGATTTTGTACACATTAGCACAATTAATTTATATCAAGTCAAAATCATGAGGTGAGTTAGTGAATAGTCATGGACTGCTTGCTCAGAAGAATTTACTGCGTGTTTCTTCCTTCAGCTATTGTGTCAAGTGAAGTCATGGATTCTTCCATCACTTCCTGTCAAATATGACATGGTACAAGTTGGTTATAATGAACACTTTACTTCCTGTATTTGATTTGTATGTTACTCAAATTTATTGGATGTGAGTAAAAACTGAAACTTGACATCCCATGTATTAACGGAAAAATATGAATTTGTCAGTCCTCTTGTCTTACGGTCAAATTGATAGAGTGCAGTTACTATCTCATGTAGCTCCTACTGTAAAATCAAAGAATTTCAAATCTAGGTGTCATCCCACTTAAGTAGCAGGTTGTGATCAATAGTTTGCAGAATATTTATCTGAGATGATTTTGAGTTTTAACTTTCTAGACTTGTTAGCTCTGGTCAGTTATGTTCACTTAGTTCTGTAAGTGCAAAGGTTATAATTATAACGTGGAAAACTTTTTTTTTTTTTATTATTTGATAGCACACTTAAAAGAAAGACTAGAGGAGTATATTAAGCAGTGGAATGGCCTTGTAAAGGTATTTCGAAATGAGAGGAGAGAAGGTTTAATTCAAGCTAGAAGCATTGGAGCCCAGAAGGCTAAACTTGGACAGGTAGAAAATGTTTGATAAATTTAAAAAAATCTTTTAATTTAAACAGATGCATAAAACTGTTGGTATTATATTGTGAATATTATTCAAGTAAGTCAAGGTTAAACTCTTAAGACATTATTGTGTAATTTTTTAAATGCATATGTGTATCAGAAATTTAAAATGATAAGCTTTATTGAATCGGTGTCATTGGTATAGAAAAATCTCCAAAGATTATATCTCTCCCTCTTTTTTGTTTTGTTTTTAAAGGTTTTGATTTACCTTGATGCCCATTGTGAGGTGGGAGTTAATTGGTATGCACCACTTGTAGCTCCTATATCTAAGGACAGGTAATGCTTTCCTGTTAGTTTCTATATCTCGGAATTCTACTCTAGGAAGAAAAAAAGCCACAGTAACAATCTACATGTTTCAGCCATATCTAGGGTATTGTTTGTATTACAGTTATTGTGTAATCACTCAGAGTAGAAGATTTTGTCTTATAACAAGTAAAATAGTCATGCAAATAATATATAGCTTATTTTAATTGGGGAATTGAAGAAAGGGGAATACAAAGCAGCCAACTAGTTTTTCCTTAATTCTTTCTTATAAACCCTATTAGAAATAATCTAATTTTCTTACTTGGGGCAAAGGAGGAACCTACATAAACAAGATTGTTATTAAAGCTGAGCAAAAAGATGGTATCTAAACTGGGAGTACAAGCCTGGGAGTGGCAGGGAGAAAGGTGGAAAGGAGAGAGAGAGAGTGTATGTGAGTACTAAAATTTGATGTAATGAAACTTTTCAGGTCATTAAACCCCCTGTGAACTTAAGAATGTGTTTGGCCAGTATGTTTAAAAACCAGTACTGAAACACTTTCATGGTTTAACAAAGCAATATTTTTTCCAAAAGACTGTGTTTATAAGGAAATTATATACAGCAGTCTTGGATAGTTAAAGTCTATAGTTGCAAAAATAAGAGCAAGACTTTTATTTTTCTTATTGTTTCACTGTAGTGAAATTTCTTGAATTTCAATATAGATAGGAAAATACTAAATATTTACCAAAGCTTCCATTTTTTTCTTTATGGCCATAGGAGATATTTTATTAAGAGCCCCTTGTCAGGAAATAAATATTTCCAGTATGCATTTGACACTCTTACAATAACACATGTATTGGAAAGTATCTTCCTGATCTTTACACATAATTTTTCAGTTGCATTATAGAAATAGTAAAAAGTTAATAGTGGATCTATTAGATTAGACAGATTACCTTTCTTAAATTGTATTCTGCTCTTTCTTCCCCTCCTGTAAATGTTTCAGAACTACATGTACTGTGCCCCTAATAGATTATATAGATGGGAATGATTATTCCATTGAGCCACAGCAAGGTGGGGATGAAGATGGTTTTGCCAGAGGGGCCTGGGACTGGAGTTTGCTGTGGAAACGTATTCCATTAAGCCACAAGGAAAAGGCCAAAAGAAAACATAAAACTGAGCCTTATCGGTAAAGAGTGCTGTTTTTCATTCTGTGAATTGTAATGAATGAATATCTAAACCCTGTCATTTTTCCCCCTTCTTTTCCCATGTACTCTGATTCACATAAATGTACCATATGGGTCCATGTACCTACTTTAACCTCATCCTCCCTGCCGCCATCCACAATCCTGCAGAACCACATGCACTGTGCCGCTTATAGATGTCATAGAGGGCAACACTTATGAGATTGTACCACAAGGGGGTGGTGACGAAGATGGGTTTGCTAGAGGAGCATGGGATTGGAGTATGCTATGGAAGAGGGTGCCTTTGTCCAAGCGAGAAAAGGAAATGAGAAAGACCAAAACTGAACCGTATCGGTAATCACTAAATCACTTACACATTTTTCCTTTCTTAAGTAGATACTGATTTACTAAAGAGTTGCGGGTTCTTCTAGCTTGGGTTTTTTTTTTTTTAATGCTCCTAACAACTGTAGATGCTGTGTCCAAAAAAAAAAAAAAAAAGAGCATCTTTCGGTTGTATCTGTGCTGCTTTCTTGTACCTCTCCACCTCTGTTTTTATCTAATTAACACTGCAAGCAAAATATAGGATGTATTTTAGATTAATGATTTTTATTTGGCAAAGTAAATCATTTGTATGTTTCAGTTTCCAAATGTATTGACTTACCAAAATTTGTAAACTACTAAAATTGACTGGTAATGCAGGGAACAATAATAACTGTTTACTTATTTGATCCATAATAAGCATGCCATGAGTGTTCAAAAATAGTTTTTAGCTCATAAAATCTGTAGTTTACTATCACTCTTGAAAGTGTGCATATAGCTTTTATGTGCATGTATCAAAAGCCAATAAACTAAAAGGTCACATCTGACCTTTTAAAAAGACACTCATTGGTTTAAAATCTTAAGACAATTCGTTAGCCCTCTGCAAAGTATCAGCTAAACAGAATTCCATTCTCTCTTGTGGGAGGAGCCTAGTGATTTTAATATAGTCAAACCTATTTCCTTTAATACATGAGGGATATATTGTTCCAACAAAAAAATACATTTTAATTTTTGCTTAAAATATGGGTTTCTGAACTTCTTTCAAGACTACTTAAGAGGCTATGGTTCTGCTCTGCTTTTCCTTTACACTAGTCTAACCCTGTAACCAAGATTACATGTATCTGAATATAATCTTTGCAGCTCTAGAAAGTTGTGCTTTATCTAGTTTTATACGTGGTTCGAACAAGTTGTGAGAACTAATTAATGCTTCACTTGGCACTCATCCTGTGACTTGTGAAAATGGCAAAACATGCAAGAATATTATGAAGATTTGGTCTCTTCAGTACTTCATGGTATGTAAGAGAAGAATGCTGTCCACATTGAAAAGTTAATAATATTAGTTTAGTGCTGGTAAAGGTTGAGATCACATTTTGCATACACAACAAAAATAGCTATTTGAACTGTTTTTAGAAAAGCTCTGGAGATAATAATTAAAAATATTAATTGAAACAAAAATACATCACTTCCTGAAAACATCCTTATCCTAATATATATCCAAAGTAGATGCATTTTACTGTGTGGCAGAATGAATCAAGTAAAGCAAAGTATACATTTTCATAAAATAATGTAGGAAGATAAACTAGTTATTTTTTCCCTGAACAGAAAAAACGAAAGTATAGTAAAATGTAAGGTGTCCTATCACATTTATCAGCTCTCTGATATCTGAAGGATCCATGTGACATGGCAGCAATTTAGAAACGCAGTCTAGCAGGGGTACGCAACCCCAGGCATGCATGCCAGAGTGTGGCACGTGAAGGCATTTTACTTGGCGCACATGCCTTGGGGCAGACAGCAGGAAAGTGGCTGGGGCTGCAAAGCCACAACAAAGATTATGCCCCCCCACTGTCCTGCCATCTGCCCCTAGCATGGCAATATCTTCCAAGTCAAGGTTGCAGGTGCTTTTGGCACTCTGCCCAAAAAGATTGCCGACCCCTGCACTATAGTAAGTGGTATAGTAAATGGAAACATAAAAAGAACTCCCCATACATCTGAACAAGGATTTGCACTGGTTGGGAGTAATAGATCCATAACATTTGTAACCAGCCATCCTTGTGGTTGACTCAGAAAGCATGAGCTAATTCTAATACTTCTTGTTTTATTAACTTGCTCAGTCTTACGTTTATGTGCAGAAGGGGAATATGCTGCCACTAATATTAAAATGATATACTATATCAACTAAAAATTCAGAAATCTTAAAAAGATAGTCTAGAGCAAAAGTTAACTACCAACAGCCTGTGACACAAATCTGGCCTGCAGTTGGGGGACTTTGTCTGTGGCTGAACAGCTGGACGCCTCACCCATGCCACATCGCAACCAGGTGGCAGAGAGAAGCAGCATGTGCCTGCCTTGGACCCAAGCTAGGTCATTCCAACTTGCCACCAGAAAACATTGTTTATCTCAGGTCTTAAAAACTTGGTTTCAATTCATAGCTGTGCCACAGATTACTTTGGTGACCAGGAACAATTCTGTGGCTTTTAAAGATAAACTGCTTGATTTGCAGAGGTGTGTGAAGCTTAACTCATTTTCTTTTCTTCTTGGCTTTTTAGGCCTGGGGCAAAAGATGTTCAATTAAATAGGCAAACTAGATTCACATTCTCAGGTACTACTAGCAAGTTGACAAAGAACTTTGATTGCAGTCATAGTGGTAGAATATTCAAGTGGAATGGACAACATCTTTTCATGTAACAGTTCTTAGTGATGTAAAAATCTTGGTTTGTAGACCTATTTTTGGCAAAAACCAATTTTTAAACAGTAACGTTTAATTTGAAACCTGTACAACTTGACGTTGTAAAAATTCCATAAAACTTACTTTTCCAGCCTCCGTAATTATAAATTAAATTTTCTGCCTGATCTTTCTTCCATGGTTGTTATATTGATTTTTTAATAGAGCTCTGTAACAGATCTCTTGTTGTGTAGTGAGGTTTCAAGGTGGCAGCTTCTCAGAACACAAATTGTTTCCTAATAGGGTCTATTCTCCTACTGGACATGCTTTAAACTGCATCAAGAAATGGTGCAATGGTTCTTCTGATGTAATTAATAGGGTATAACTGTAGATTTAATTTGGTTAACAGAATACTACTGGCCAGTATTCTGTGAAATTTACAATAGCAATGAAATCAATTATTTTTTTTAAAAAATTACACAAATCGAAAGAATTGCAGCAAGCTTGAAACAAAGCTTTACAATACCTACATGTACTGCCATTCATCTAATCTTTATCATGTATTAACAGCAAATTGAACCTTACATTAAATTTATTTTTTTTCCAAAAGACTCTCATGTTCTGTTGGCTAAAGGAATTATTTTTGTGGCTCTTTCTCTTAGGTCTCCTGCAATGGCTGGTGGATTGTTTGCCATTGAACGTGATTTCTTTTTTGAACTGGGTCTCTATGATCCAGGTCTTCAAATATGGGGCGGTGAAAACTTTGAAATCTCTTACAAGGTAACAGCCGAATTGCTCTGCCTTCAAATGAGAACTTCTAAAAATTATAAATATTTATAGAATCTCCATTGTCATAAATACAGATTACTTTAAATACAAACTACTGCAAAAACTTAAACCTGTCTTTGTTCTTCCCTTTTCCCAGTCCTCCTGGGAAAGGAAAAATAATCCTGGAGTTCTTCACCATCATAGAAAATTCTTTAACTAAATATTCGCTTGCAAAAAGAAAGGTTGTATGTGGAGAAAATTGTATCTGAGTAACTCATCAACAACACATTCAGGGCACTCACAGGAATTCAAATGGCAGACAGACCAGAGAACAGTGTCCTGATTAATAGAAGTAAAAGTACCAAATTTATTTTATGATCCAACAGTTTTGACAGGGACCCTTAAACCTGTAGTTGAATAATAAAGATAAGAAGAAGAAAGTAAATTATGAAATTAATAACACTGTCAGTGGTCTCAGTTCTTCAAGCTTGGCTGATGGCCATATGGAATTTGACCTGATTGAGAATGGCCCAGTTTTCATGGGTTTGGTTCATACCTATCTTCACTTATAAAAGATTTAAATGCAGCATTATTTGGACTGTCTTTAAATTGTATTTTTCCTTAAATTAATGGGTGATGCAGAGTGATCTCCGTGAGGTTGTTTTGTTATTGTTTCAAACTGTATCAGTTCAGTATTCTTTACCATTTTCATTTTAATGTTAAAATATTATTGGTGTGTAAATGCATTTCCATTACCTGCTTATTTGATCTTTTGAAGATGATAACAAAGTCCCATTAAAAGAAAGCCAATATGTAGCTTAAATTACTACTTTGGTTCATACCCAGTTAGGGGCAGTTTTCTTTGTGAGTTCCATCAGCCATTCCTACTTTTTATTTGGAATAACAATAATTATAACAATCCTGAGTATAAGAGGTCCATGATAATTAAATGATCTTGTGTCTCCCACATAATTTTCTTTAGAAAAAAATTGGGATGGGCATCAAAGAAAGAATAATATCTGTGAAAATGAAATATGAACTGATATTTAAGAAAATAAAACCTGACACATTTTTATATACTCATTTATAACTGCCTTTTCAAAGAATAGTGGAATGTGATCCTGAAAACATGATTCTGAGGTGCTGCTTTATAAAATACTTTATAAGATACTTCATAGAGTTGCTGAAGAACATACTGGATAGAACCCCAGCCTTTTATTTCAAGTCTTCATTCTGTCCTAAAGTCAAGAATGACTTGTTGTGAGGCTCTCTGTTATACAATCAGTGTAATAAGAAGAATTTGTTTTACATACTATTGGAATTGTAGTTGTACTTATTATACATCATTTTGTGTTTGAACTTGCAGATCTGGCAATGTGGAGGAAAGTTGTTGTTTGTTCCTTGTTCTCGTGTTGGACACATCTATCGTCTCCAGGGTTGGCAAGGAAATCCACCGCCAGTCTATGTTGGATCTTCTCCTACATTAAAGGTAAGACCGACTTAAAGCCAGAAAATGGTTTCATCTTAAACTTACAAAGACAGCTTGTAAATTTTAAATATACAACTCTTCTATAGCACAATACACAGTTATTTAAAGAACCATAACTTTTTTGTTAGGAAAAGTCAATAATTTGTTTCCTCTAACTACCTGAACATGAAAATTTGATTTAAAAATATTTGCTGCTTTATAAAAAGCTTTTAATAAGAAATCCACTTATTTTTGTTGGGTAAAATATTAGTATGATTTTAAACACTAAGTCATTGTCTACCTAGGAAAATAACTAGGAATAGCTATTTTGTGATCCCCTCAACCTCCAGATAACACATTTTTATTCACATCGGGGGGCTTTGTATATTTGGTTTAGTCCATTTCAGAAGCTGATTAAGCTAAACTGCAGAATGACTCATGAATAGTAAGATCCGTGTACTGTTAGACAAGATACTTTAACCACATACTAATTGTTTAGTCTGGCTTGACTTCAACAAGGATTTTAGCACAGTCTCCTATGACATTCTCATTAATAAGCTATGGAAATACAGCCTAGATGAAAGTAATGTACCGTGTCTTAGAGTCATAGAGGAGCAGGGCTGGAAGGGACCTCCAGAGCTCATCTAGTTCAATCCCCTGCCTGAGGCAGGATCATCCCTATCCAAACCATTCCGTACAAATCCATAATCTAAACTCTACATAGGACTACCGTCAACCCTGACACAATATACCTGCCACAAATAAAGCAGCGGAACCATGGCATCCAATGTCCTGCTTCTATGAACTGTTATCGAGATATGCTCAAGAGATGCTGGGTAGAGGGACATGCCTCTCACTACAGAAGAAGGCAGAAACTCAGTCCTGACCCCAAATATGGCAGTCGGCCTGACCCTGAGCAGTGGGACAAGACCCTCTAACCAAGAACCTCTGGCTTTGGTCCCAGCAGGACCCCAGTCAAAGTTCCCAGCCTTGGCTGTAGCCAACAACAAATCTCTCTGAGGGAGAATTAAAATCACCCTGACACATTGTTAGCACCACTGTTCACTAGATAGTACCTGGGAATCGTTAGAACACAGTTAACTCTTAAATGGAACAAGAAATACAGACACAGAGAACTCAGTGTCCTAAAATCAAAGTCTAACTTTATTAGTGCAGCAAGTATTATCTTAGCAGTTTCTATATTCAGAGAGAAAAAAATACTTTGTACAATGATCTCACCCAATCCCAGATGTTACTTTGCTCAACAGAAGAGGCAGGCCACACAGTTCCTGAAGCAAAGGGTGCGTAGTTAGCTGGGATGGTCCAGTCAGGTGTTGAAGGCTGGATTTATGATGACAACGACGACACACTTAATGTTCTTGCTTCCCCTTTTTATGCTTTTCTTTAACTTCACTCCTTTGATGACTCTTGCTTTTGGATTGGTCTCTCTGCAGTCAGCATCCTGTCCATATTTTATCCTGTCAGCATATTTCTTTGTTCAACAGACCCATCACAAGCACACCTCTTAACCAAGAGGTCTTGATTAAATAAGGCAGTGATTAAATAAGGCTGAATATAAAAGAGAACTTTAAACAATACTGTAATTCACCATTCTGTAAGCAAGGTGCAACTTTAAAGCATAAAATATGATAAGCTACCCTAACAACATGTAGCAGAAAGGGAGGT